ACTGCGAAACAGAGAAGGAAAGAGAGAGAGAGAGAGAGAGAGATGATGACCTACCTCCTCATATCTCTCAGTCAAGGCAATGCGCTCCTCCTCGGTCATGTCAGGCCGGATAACAACCATGGTTTCATAGCGGTTAAGTCCTGGAGGGTATTGTCGCGGCTCGACGGGATCTTCGTCCATCCCGGCTAGCGAGTCCTGCATCGCGACCCCCGTGGGGGACACCACACCGGGTCGCCCACCGGCTCTTCTGCCGCTCGTTGTCGGCAGTTCCACGCGGCGGCAAGCACGGGACCCCGAGCCTCCCGCATTTCCAAGAAACGCCATCCCATGCAGACACGTGTCCAGCTGCTGCTGGCCATCTGCACCGGAGCGCCTACATACCACTGAGCAACACCCTTCCGCCACCGGCACTACCGGTAGTCCGCCGACCGTTGATGTCGAGCGACCGGTCCTCGCCGCAGTGAAACCCGGTGACCTGGTACAACACACGGCAGCCGCGTGTCCCGTCGCGGCGACCGTGAACCCCATCTTCAATCTGTCTGGCTATGGCTCTCCAGAGTGCACACTCCTCCTTCCCCCTCCTTCCGCCTCCTTCCGCCTCCCAGCCTTTCTTTCCCTCCCCGTCTCTTGCCCAATACTTTCTTCAAACCGACTACATCTCCCATCCGCCAAGCCCACACCGTGCTCCTCCGCGCCGTCTACTCAGCGTCGACGCACGTTCAACAAGAAGAGAAAGAGGGAGTATGGAAGCCCCTATAGCTGGGCCAGCCCTCTTGCGCTCAGGGTGTGCCCTATCCTGACTGCCCAGAGTCTGTCGCGAAGCTCGACGCTGGACTCTCGGCGCTCGCGGGATCGTGTCTGCTCGCGCTCCAGTGAAAAAATTCGGATAAGGCCGTGCTCTTACTACGGTAGGGCTTTCTTGGATGTATATCACCGGCCCGCCGACCAGCGCTGGATGCACCTGACCTCAACTACGTCTTTTGGGGACTTGGAAAAGGGTGCCATCACGTACACACAAACTGTTGAAATGCGGATCTGAGCTCGAATCCAAAGAGAGATTATCGAAATTCCCGAAATCGGGTAGCGCTGAGCGATGGAGAGCGGCGGCCTGCCGGAAACGACAGGTACCGGCGTCACCCAGCTGGGGCTATGCCCAGCGTCGGGGTAAACCGCTATCGTTTTCGGCATTTTCAAGGTTTACCATAGCCTGGCAGGTAGCAATACGTACGTGTTTTCTTCCCGTGAGATATAAGGGAAGTAAGGTTATCGTCTCCCCTCTTTGCGACTCTGCGACTCTGCGACCTGCCTGCTGCACATGGAGCGTGAACTCTTTGTCCGAAGCATTGGCCTGCTGATGCCTTGGGAGAAATCTGAAGGGAAACATGGTCGGCCAAGAGCCAAAGTCACTGCAATCTTCAAGACTATGGTATAGTTTCTTTGACTACCAGCCTGGGGTTGGGGTCGACACCTTGTATCTTGGCGATTGAGCCTCTGGTTATTATTTGATTTGAAAGTGTTTGGGGTGGTTTAGGATGGGTGAGACGGGAATTGGAAGCGGAAAGGGGAACGGAGTCTCCTCCTCCTCCTCCTCCTCTCCTCCTCCTCCCTCCCCCCCCCCCCCCCCCCCCCCCCTTCCTCTCTCTCTCGCTCTCTCTGACGACGT